GTGTTACAAATGAAAAATATCTGAACTACACTGCATCACTCTCAGCTCGTCCATAGGAATCTCCATCCCTGACTAAAAAATCTCAAAATTACAATATATATTTACATAATTACTATAAATGTGTCAGATTTGCTTAATTGTGTGTGCCTAAATGTAATCTGAATTATTTATACATTATTTTCCCCTGCTGTCTCAAACAGAAACCGATTCTGACTTTAATCTCAGAATCCTGACTTGGTTTCTCATAATTCTGAGAAAAAAATTATAAATAATGAATACACACATTTAAAACACTATTAGACACTCATTTATACAGTTTATCAGCAAAAAAAGTTAATTTAGAGGTTACTTGCTCTTTAAATATTAAAAAAAACCTCACTCGACTTTAGGAAAAAGTTTGCTGCTCCGTTTTAAATTAGATTTAGTTTTTGGCTTTCGCTAACTTTGGTGTGTTGGACATTTATTTTCTAGCCTACAAGAGTGAAAAGATTTATTTTTAACACTACAATCTAACCCAACAAGCGCTGTTATATAAGTCTCGCGATATTCTCGTAACGTAACGACATTTCCGGTGCGTGTTATGAAATTTTTGAACAGTCCAATGAACGCTCAGGGCTCGACGTTTGGGCTCGAACGGGCCAATCAGAGGCGAGTCTAGTAGGAATTTAAAGGTCTGTGCGGTATTTTCTCCATATCACAACTGTTCCAGTCCAGGTGAGTGAGGTCTTGCTGCTCATTCGGAAAGTTTGAAACGTGTTTACGATTTCTTCCCCTTCTGTTTCGTCTGTCCAAGCCGTGATTTCACTATTTTAATTAACTAGCAATGAACTAATTTCAAACAGGAAGTAAAGCGCTCGGCGGTTTCTGACGGCTCATGGTGTCACGAGGCAGCTCGGAGCAAATCGATTAACCTTCGTGTGAAATAAACGTGTTTCCGCAGGAATTGAACCAACTTTGCATCTACTCAAGTCCACTAGCTTGAAAATGTCCGAGAACGTCGCACGTCTGAACAAATTCAAGAACAAAGGCAAAGACGTTAACGTAAGACTCGCTGCACCCAGCGTCAGTGATCGGGGTAGAATGCGCAGACTTGTGTTGAACTTGAATTCGTTTGAATCTGACGCAGGAGCTTCGGCGCAGGAGGGCTGAGGTGAACGTCGAGCTTCGAAAAGCCAAGAAAGACGACCAGATCTTCAAAAGGAGGAACGTGTGCACAGAACCGGAAGAGGCCACTTCTCCTCTCCAGGAAAGAACTCAGAACGGCCAGGTGAGACTTCAGGTGTCATTCGTTAAGGACGTGGTCTGCATCTTAAGCTGTAGGGGGGTGAATAGTCCCAGTATCTGGTGAAAGTTGCATCCCGAGCCTCGTACTTTGATTTTGAGCCCTGTTTCTTAACTTTTTCCACTAAATTATGACCCACTTTTGCCCCATTAGCAGAATTTAAGACAATGGACCGTGGAGGAGATCGTTACTGGGGTGAACAGCGGTAATCTGGAGTCTCAGCTTCAAGCCACCCAGGCTGCACGGTAACAGTCTTTTTTTTAACGTTGCAAATTCCAAAGTAAACCAGTATTGATGCAGTAACTTCAACCGTGATGTTCTGTCATCAGGAAACTTCTGTCACGAGACAAGCGCCCTCCCATTGATCAGATGATCAGCGTAGGTCTGATATCCAAGTTCGTGGCCTTCCTCGGCCTGACGGACTGTCCTCCTATCCAGTTTGAGGCGTCCTGGGCTCTGACGAACATCGCCTCTGGCACATCGGATCAGACGGCTGCTGTTGTGGAGGGTGGGGCCATTCCTGCCTTCATTAACCTGGTCCTATCCCCCCACCAGCACATCAGCGAGCAGGCAGTCTGGGCTCTTGGAAACATTGCAGGTAAGTGCAGAGTTATTCTTTAGGCAAGTTTTTTTGTACCTAAATAACTTAAATTTTTTTATTTGTATAGGTGATGGATCTGCTCTCAGAGATATGGTAATTAAGCACGGTGCTGTGGCACCTTTACTCAGGCTGCTGGAAGTTCCTGACTGGACTGTCTTTAGTGTAAGTCTTCTCGGATTTTACATTTTCCAAGAACTCCATTTGGGAAATGGTCACATTCCTGTAATCGTTAATCCCTCCCGCCACTAGGTGGTGTCCTAACCCAATAAAATAATTCACCCCTTTAGTCTGACACCTGCTCTTCTGTTCTCTGTAGCCTGGCTACCTGAGGAATGTGACTTGGACTATTTCAAACCTGTGCCGTAACAAGAATCCTTCTCCTCCGATGAGTGCAATCGAACAGCTCCTACCTGCTCTCATTCGTCTCCTGCATCACAATGACCTGGAGGTGCTTGCTGATGCATGCTGGGCCGTGTCCTACCTGACTGACGGCTCCAACGACCGTATCGAGGTGGTGGTCCAGACGGGGCTGATTCCTCGCCTGGTGAATCTGCTCGGCTTTGAGGCGCTGTCTATAGTTGTAAGTAACTTTTCTGGCAAGTATGGTTTCTGTGGGCTTCAGCCGTCTTAAACCTCGTGTCCTTGCACTGAGACACAACTTGGACCCGGTTGTTAATGGATCATCCTCCCCCAGACTCCGGCGCTGCGTGCCATCGGAAACATCGTCACCGGCACAGACGAGCAGACTCAAGCGGTGCTGGACGCCAAGGCGCTGACCATGTTCCCTCACCTGCTGCGCCACAAGAAGCCCAACATCCAGAAGGAGGCAGCCTGGACTCTGTCCAACATCACAGCTGGGAAGGACACACAGATCCAGGAGGTCATCGACGCAGGCCTCGTTCCATACATGGTGGAAATGCTCGTTCAGGTATGTCGTCGTGTCACAAGATTGTTGAGTAAACTTTATTTTTCTTCTAACAGTTTAGAAATATATTTTTATTTTTGCTTCTCCAGGGTGACTACAAAACTCAAAAAGAAGCGGTGTGGGCAGTTACAAACTTCACCAGTGGGGGCACTGTTCAGCAGGTGGTGTATCTGGTGCAGGTCAATGTTCTCGAGCCTCTTCTGAATCTGCTCTCCTCCAAGGACAGCAAAACAGTCCTCGTCATCTTGGACGCAATAACTAATATTTTCATGGTGAGCACATGTGTGAATGGACTGGATCAGCTGATTTCTCGTGTGTGGCTTCACGGTCCTGAAACTTGTCTGTCGGATTCGTCAGGCTGGGGATAAAATCGGAGAGGCCGACAAGCTGAGTCTGATGATCGAAGAATGCGGCGGACTGGACAAGATCGAGGCGCTGCAGTCTCACGAGAACGAGATGATCTACAAAGCTGCCCTCAACCTGATTGAGAAGTATTTCTCTGAAGAGGTGAGTGTGGCAGTGAAGGTGTGACCAGTTAAATGTTTGTTTGTCTGATGGACTCGTGTGTTTTTGTTTTAGGAGGAGGAGGTGCTGTGTGTGGCTCCTGAAGCTACAGAGGAAGGGTTTGCATTCCAGATCAGTGAAAACCAAAGCACTTTCAACTTCTAGATGACCCTTTCTTCTGTTTACTGTACCTGTGTCCTATGTTTGTGTTCTTCTGCTGTTTTCCTGTATCTAATGTACGGTTTTAACCTCTACACACTTGTAAATAAAGTTTATGATGCTTGTTATGGGCTGTGTGTGTGCTACAAGCTACCCTGCAACACCTAGGCTGAAGTGGTTTTGATGACGGATTTTAAATATAAAAACTTAATATTTGGTTTAAATGGCTGCTGCCTTTTCAGAGGCTGCAAGTGAAAAAAAGTGAACACTTATGAGGCAACTTTTTTTTTTTTAAGTGAGGATTTTTATAAATATATATATATATAAAGCTTACCAGTTTGGGTTTAGAAGTAGGGTGTGAATTGAGTTTTACGGTTAGGCATACTGCAGTCAAAATGAATGGGAGTCAATTGATGGTCCTCGCTATGATAGAAAGACAGGTGTGTGTGTGTGTGTGTGATGTCTGGCTCCCCCGGTGGGTGCTGTCGTCACCGGTCAGCTCGTGCGGCGGGACTAACCCGGAGGCTCCGCACTTGAGCTCAGGAGGAGCTGAGAGGAGGACCGAGGCAGGCGGAGGCTCTCTCCGAAGATGTGAAGACAAACACCGCCTCCCTCAGCGAGCCCACACCAGCCTCTCCCCGCGCCTCAGCTACGGGGTTCAAACGTTACATTTTCATTTTGGTGAATGTACTCTAAAGTATGTTACACCCGCCCTTTTCTCCCTTATTTTCGCATTTATGAGCGACCGCTGTGGCAGTTCGGTCCACATCCGGGCCACAATGCTTTGACTCCATTATTGTCTAAAAGTGGCGCAGAGGTTGATTTTTTTTTTTTTTAATCCGACACCCGGCGTTTTTGTAGCTGCTCCAGAGAAGTCTCGGTCCAAGAGGAGATGTCTAATCAAGGAGTTCGGCGGAATGGACCCGTGAAGCTGCGACTAACAGGTAGCTAGCACCGCTTCAACCCCCGAGCGTATTCCCACACACTAGCTAGGAAGGCTGGGTGTATTTGCTGGATGGGAGCAGCTCCCACGGGCCACGGAGTTGGCTTGCTGCCTGCTATTCCTCTTGCTTTTAATTTTTAATTGAAGCGTTTTAAAATTATTTTTAAATATCAGTTTGTTTTAATGGAAGATTCTGTGTAGCTGAATTCTGATATTATTGTTCTTGGAAGTAGTCTCAGCCTTTGTCGCCTGGAAACCTGCAGCAGTCGGAGCAGGGATCCAGGATACTTTCGTGTCGGCACTGGCTTGCAGATAAATAATAGTGAAAATCCCTAAAACAACCTGCTTTTGTGGTGATCACGGATGAAAATGCACCATAAACAGGAGTGCTGTGCTGACAGACGGGCTCGGTTAAAGTTGGCTAGCTGACGCTAGCTCTTAATGCCAGATCAAGCGGCTCATAGGAGTGTGTACAGTGTCCCATAACTGTCTCCCCCTGACAGACAGACAGCTGCCTCCTTTGTTTGTTGTTGTTGTGAAAGCTGGCCGAGCCACTCCTCACCTCCACCTGAAGACGGGTTGCTGTGGAGAAAGGAGTTTGTTGTGAAACATTTCATTTTCTGCTGGTCTGTGTGGACATCTCTTCCAATCTCCAGTTTCATTTGTCCCATTTTCTACACCAACAGCGAAATCCTGAGAGCAGAGTGATGTTTTGACTGGGATAGAGGTCCTTGTTCAGGTTCTTAGCTGGATCTGATTCAAGACCTGAGTCATCCCATCAGGAGGAGCCAAACCAAACATTTGAGCCGGTGTTGGTTTTGATAACAGCGAGTGAAGAATGCAAGTAGGGAATATTATGCTTTCAGGATCGTGTTTGTGCGTTTTGCATTGTTTCGGACACGAGCTGAGTGGCCCAGCACTCACCTAGAGGAGCCTAAAGGGTTCAAACTGATATGATTTATGTTGCTTTTCTGGATTAGACATCAGTTTTTTTATCATAGCTCTATATTGAAGTCTATACAGACTTGACTTTTTCTTGGTATCATGTTTTTGTCTCCTGGTGGTGTAATCCCTCACCTCCTATTTCTTATTCACAAATTACACGCCCACACTTCCAAGGCCAGATGGTTTCAGCATCTTAAAAACACATTAGTCGTCAGCTGGAAGGCACAACAACATATTAGAGCTGTCACCAATTAAAGAAACACAGACTCATGAAAGGGGAAGATTTCAAGACAAATCTTTGGAAAATCCGGTGTGAAGGTTTTATATTTAGACGAATAACTCCGGGCCGGGGGAGAGGTCCTACCTCAAGTGGAGGAGTTTAAGTATCTTGGGGTCTTGTTCACGAGTGAGGGTAGGAGGGATCGGGAGATCGACAGGCGGATTGGTTCGGTGTCTGCAGTGATGCGGACGCTGAGCCGATCTGTCGTGGTGAAGAGGGAGCTGAGCCAGAAAGCCAGGCTCTCGATTTACCGGTCGATCTACGTCCCAATCCTCACCTATGGTCACGAGCTTTGGGTAATGACCGAAAGAACGAGATCGCGGATACAAGCGGCCAAAATGAGATTCCTCCGTAGGGTGGCCAGGCTCAGCCTTAGAGATAGGGTGAGGAGCTCGGACATTCGGGAGGGACTCAGAGTAGAACCGCTGCTCCTCCGGATCGAAAGGAGTCAGTTGAGGTGGTTTGGGCATCTGGTCAGGATGCCTCCTGGACGCCTCCCTGGGGAGGTGTTTCGGGCATGTCCTGCCGGCAGAAGGCCCCCGGGTCGACCCAGGACACGTTGGAGAGGTTACATCTCCAATCTGGTCCGGGAACGCCTTGCGGTCCTGCCGGAGGAGCTGGTGGAGGTGGCCGGGGAGAGGACGGTCTGGAGCTCCCTAGTTGGGATGCTGCCCCCGCGACCCGGATAAGCGGAGGAAGACGACGACGACGAATATTCTCCCATAGTGCAAAGTCTTACATTTGCAATAACTAACGAATAAAAGTTGACTTTAAGGAATAATTGTAAGAAAATAAAAGATTGACTTTTCTCAAATGAGCAAGAAATTTCTTTAATATTCATGTTTAGATTCTTAAGTTGCCAGAAATAATTTAGATGTTTATTGCAATTGTAAAATTGTTTATTTTAAAAACTAGGAAAACGGTTGTCTGAGATTAAAGTTGAACATTTATAAGAGTCAACAGAATATTCCGTAAGGTGGAATCAGCTGGTGGTGATAGGCTAAAGCTGCTGGCAAATTTGGAAAACAAATTAGCTTAAAGCATTTTTTTCAAGCCTCTTAACTACTTCAACTTTCATACATTGTACAGCTTTAAATATATTGTGGAGATATAAAAAAACAATAAAATTAATAAAGTGGTTTTCTTACAGTGAGTTTTTGACCAAAACCAACCATCAGACAAGCCGGTTGTTTACCTCACCAAACCCCCGTACATCCCTGGGTCCTCCACTCATCACACACTCACATATCAGTGTTTCCTCTTGGAGATTTTCCAGTTTTGGGGGGGGGGGTTATGACACGTCTCACCTTTATGTTAATATTGTTTTATTTGATGCACTCCACTCTGAACTGCACTAATCCAGCAACTGCTGCATTGTAATAACTAGTATTAAAGGTGAGTACACCAATATTTGCACAAGAATAATTTTTGTTTTAAACTCTCAGTGACACACTTTGCAGGAGGATTCGGCATTTAACCCTTTGATGCATGAATTACGAAATCATCAACCATGACTTTTTAAACAATTTTTTTCATTCATCTTTAGGTGTGAATGAAACAAATTTCAACAAATATTTTTTGTAACATTTTGTTAATTTACAAGTAATTTATTACATGTCCAGCTCAGTGGACAGCGTGCATTCTGAACATGAAATATGTTGGCTTGACTTACTGAAGCCCAAATGGAGGGGCTCATATGCAATAAAGTCTTCAACAGCTGTGCTTAATAGCAAAAATAAATAAATAACAATTTTGAGTACCTGTCCACTGTAGTGACCATTATGCATCAAAGGGTTAATTTTTCTTGGCGTTTGGAAAAACATCTCCTTCTGACCTCTTTATTTTGTCTAAGATCATTACTGGGCTGGCCCTAATAAACACCTTCTACACCCCTGCTTAGTAGACTTAATGAAGTATTTTTAAGCCAGTATAAAAATGACTGAAATACAAATTTACATATTTGGCATAAAAAACATCAACAAAACTTGGGATCTTGTAGGCGTGGCGCTGGGATTTCAGCCGAGGCGGGCCGCCGCGGCTACGCCTATGTGAGGGAAACACTGCATATTCAGCACCCGAACACCACTGGTGTGAGAGGTTCTCGCTCAATAACATCAGAAAAGGAGAAACAGCCAGCTGCTACCACTTCAGCTTCAGGACTAACTACCAGAGTCCCAAAAAGAAAATCACTGTTTGAATTCACGGACAACGAAAGACGTTAGGACCTAGAAAACAGTGACTGGTGTTTAGCGCTATCTCGTCTCCTTTTGAAATGCGGGTGTTCGGTTCCAGCAGAAGCGTCTCACGCCCGAGGGGAGGGGTGAGTGCTCCGTGACCGTGTTTGCACTCAAAACCTAGCTTGTTCTGTTGATTCGCTAAAGCGGCTTTAATTGTTGTTCTTTGCAAAAAAAATCTGGAATCTACCGAAAGTTGCATCACCAAGTCAGACTTGTACAAGAACCCAGAAAATCCCCCAAACCATCATCAGTGCATCTCCACTGAACACGTGCACATTTACCTTTTTGGTCTTGAAGGTTTGGAGCCTTTTTCTAGCAAATGTGAGAATTTTTTAAATATCGGATAAAGTCATCGTGGGACAGCAGTAGCGGGTTGTCCGGTATCGATCTCTGGGTGAGACACTTAACCCGCCTCGCCTGCTGGTGGTGGTCGGAGGGACCGGCAGGCCTCGCCTCCGTCCGTGTGCCCCAGGGCAGCTGTGGCTACATCGTGTGCCTTGGGGGGGGGGGGGTTGCAGAACCCTAAGAAGACCATTTCCCATAGTTGTGACTTTTTTCACTATTTCAGATTTTTTCTAATTTAGGTCACACTGATTTCTTTCCTGTAAGTAAATAAGTGACTAAGCGTGAAAGCTTTGGGGCTTTTTGTTTAGCTGTAGATTAGTGTGTCGCTGCAGCCTGCGACGGACCACGTCAGTCTGCTGCCGGAATGCTAAGAACGTGAGTCCTTGGTGGAAAAACGGCGTGTCCAGCACCTCACAGACCACTGTTCCTCGCTATGATTCTTTGCCATTGAGTCGTGCACAGCTGCTAGGGAAATGGACCTGGAACGTGTCGCAACCTCCAGACGGGAACTGAGTGACTTACAAAAGCATGTAGCTGTTTTTGTGTTGCAGGCGTCTCTCGTTGCAAGCAAGCCTCTTGTCCGTGTTATCCAGATGTTACGTGTTTGCCTGCTGTTGAACTGGGAAAAGAAAATACAAGCAGCCTACTAAAACCAACGGTCGGGGTGAGATTTGCCCCTCGACACCCCCTTTGATGTTACGCCACGCGTTCCAACTGCGCCGTGAAGGCACGCCTGCTTGCTTTGTAGGATCATTCATAAATTTCCTGACACACGGAGAGCTTTTGGAGTTTTGGGCAGCCAGTGATGACACACAACCGCAGGCAAAGCCACAGAGAGCTGCTCCTTTATATGCGGTGAAGACCCTCCGGTCGTCTGAAGTAAAATCAGATCCATTAAAAGAGGAGCTGGTCCCAGTCGTCCACCTGGAACACTAAACTACCTGGCGCTTTGATTTTGAGTCTGCAGCTTGATCGTGACTTGTCCGGCATATGGTTTGCTCATCTGAATTCTTTGGCACGACGCAGACCAGCGAAGAGCTCTCTCAGTGGGATTCCCTAAAATCCTCCATCCTCATTCCCACCTCTTCCTCTCTGAGTCACTCCTGTTCTTTCCGAAGCTTCTTCGCCACCTCAGACCAAAAGCATATTTCGCCCCCACCCGAGCCCGCCGAGCTTCCCCTGCACGCTGACGCT